CAGAGACGGAGTGCATAAGCATGTGTGTTTTCTCTTAGAAACTACAGATGCTCATCCCTTCTCAAATGTATACATGTTGCTTTAAGATGGCAGCTTATCCCAAGAAGAAGAAAAAATGCAGTTGATAATTACTGCATTGTATTCACCTGTACCATCCTTGATGCGGTCTTTATGATACAAACATATGGAAGTTTTAAAGATGCTGGGTTCTGAATGCAAATCCCCCACAGTGGTCCCTGCCTCTTTCATTTCTCTCTCCCTCCCAGTGTGACTGGGAGATGTGCTATGTGATGGGAGATTGCTCAGGCACTGGGCATTCTGTTAGGCAGGAGGGCACTGAGTCCCAAATTTCCTAGCCCCACACTTTCTTTCTTCCTCGATTTCACTGCTGTTTTCCTGAATTCTCTGACAATTTGTCAGCTGGGTGCATCCACAAACACTGACACCAAGCATGGGAGAAGCTTTTCCCAGTCTGGTTTCACCTTAGTAGTCGGAAAAGCCATGGGTCAAATGATCACTGCTGAGTAGAGCATTTGAGGATTTCATTTCTAAAATGGGTTTCTTGAGATCCACGAGTTCTTTCTCGGGCACCTGAAAGCAGGGGAACAGTTTGAAAGGGCACTGGAAAATTGTTCGGGGTACAGGAATAATGACAGAAAATTCAGGACAAGCTTAACTGGCTTCATTAGGAAGATGGGCTTCTGGGGTAGAATTCCTGTTTAGAAAGAGGCAATAATGCAGTTGCAAAGGACTGAAGTGAGGTGGTAAGATGTAAAGAGAGAAGACATTTCATAAAATCACCTTCCTTTGCCTCAAGGAAATCATTGGATGCTAGGGAAATGTCACTCTAGCTGGGAGGTGCCTTCACTCTATAGGCAGAGATTGGGGCAATTGAGTCCAAGGCCTTTAAAGCCTACCATAGCTACACCTAATTTATTCTGAGTGTCTTGAACAAGTCTAAGCTTTTCCCGTGGCTCAATAATATTTGTTGAGTGATTAGAAAAATTAATAGAACCTGAAGAACTTGGGCTTTAAGTCATCATAGCTATTGGCTAGCTTTGTGACATCGGGGGAGGTTATCTTACTTCTCCAAACCTTCCTTTCTTCATCTGAAAAAGGAGTGTGTGGAACCTTCCTTACGAAGTAGTTAAGAAGATTAGATAGTAAGAGAAAAGGGCACTTAGAGCCACATCTAGCATTCAGTGAATAAATGTTAGGTATTAATAATCAGAATTAGAATCTCTTTAAATAGTAGATTATAATTTAAACTCTCATCATAGTGTAAGAAGCATTGGAAGAGGAAAGGAAGAGGAAATTTATTGAGTGTGTGCTGTTATGCAGATCTAAATGTTGAAGAAAGGGATTCATTGAGATAATATGTTTAAATATATATTCAATATGTTTAAACACATATGACAGTAAGATGACTCCTCAAGGTGCACGCTGACTGACCTATCTATGCATTCTTAACTATGTGTGTGTGCGTGTGTTTGTGTATGTGTGTTTGTGTGTATGCGCTGCGTGTGCCTGTGTGTATGCATGTGTGTGCATCTGCTTGTGTGTGTATGTTTGGAGTGTATGTTTGTGTGTGTGTGTCTGTGTGAGTGTATGTGTATGCATGTGTTTGTATATGTATGTGTATGCATTTGCTTGTGTATGTTTGTTGTGTATGTTTGTGTGTTTGTGTCTTTGTGATTGTATGTATATGTGTGTGTATGTTTGTGTGTGTGCATATATTTGTGTGTGTGATATATTTAAATTATTTAAAACATCAGCATGAGAAATATGTTCCAAGATGATATGTGTACATCCACTAAGATCCCTATAATAGTGAAAAACAGTTATATACTGTTGATAACTTGATCAATAGTGACATGTCAACATACTATAGACACTAAAGAATGTTTTCTGAAGGAATGAACACTTTATGATTCACAGTGGGAGTGGGCTTTTAAACATATGTCCGATTTCCATGTTTAAAACTTCTAGGAAATTGTGAATACTTTCTGAAAAATCAGTGTTTTTCAAAAAGTCTATAGCACACTATGTTCAAATCCTTACGATTTGGATTATTAACTATATGCCATATGTTCCTATTCACTACGTGTGACCTTATCTTTCTGTCTCTAAGGAAACCCCTAGCCTGGTAATTTATTTCAGGATTTGCATTTGAACTGTGAACTCAATTGTCAGAAACATGAGGGAAATCCGAGGGTTTATACACGACAAATGTTCTGTGGTTAAATAATGTCAAGAAACATCAAGGACGTCAATATACGACGTGGAGACATTACTCAGGATGCAAAGAGGTTCTGTCTGCTATGGTGCATTATTAGAAAATCATAAAGTCTAGCAGTGTTGGAAGGATTCAAGGTCATTACGCTTGTATACAGGCCATCTCCTAAGAAATGGATCAGGAAAAAAGAATAACTTAATCAGATTAGAAACACCATTAATACAATCTTTGCATTCCAAAGTCTGAACATTTTTTTTTAGTAAGTGGCAGACAACTAAGCTTTGAATACAACCTTTATTTTCTTAAACCATTCTAGTATCTTTGATGGCCACACAAATTAAAATCTGTTGTGGGGTCGAGAACATGATTCAATACAAACTTGCAGGTAAAACTTTATCAGGAGAATCCTTGCCAACCTGCTAGAATAGTTACTTGGGCTGATGTCTTCCCTTGCTATCCCAGAAGGCCCATCCCCTGGTAGGTAACATTCTAAAAGCATTTTACTAGATAATATTGTTTGTAAAAAATAAGGTAGCTTAAGGAAATATTTAATAAATTATTCAAGAACCTTCTTAGTATCAGGGAAATGAATCCTAAGGACCATGTGATTAACAATATCCCAAGACCAACTCAGTCCTTTTGATAATTTCAACACAATCTCTAAAGAGACAAGTCTGGGGTTAATTTTCAGCTCGAACTCTTGACAAATAGGTTAGGTAAATAGCTTCCAAGACCATACAACTTTCTAGAAGACAGGTAAGAATACTGGTACATCAAAGGAGAAAAGACAAAATTAGAGTTGTCAAGGAAAAAAATTACTCTCTTAGTACCCAGCTGTACTTATAAAGATATTTGGAAAAAATATTATTTACAAAAATAAAGCAGATGCCAAGATATTTCCAAACATATCACAAGAATGGAATAATTTAATCAGATATGAGATTTTAATTTTACTTTGATGAAAAAATGAAACTAATGGTGTATTCATTCTGCAGGATTATATTCAGACTTTAAATATTCACGCACATCAAGTTAAATTGTATTTTTAATTCCTAATTAGCATTTAGAACAATGCAGTTTGGAAGCAATTGACTCTGTGTAACTTGCACAGGAAAAACTGATGGAAGGATTTCATTTGAATTCCAAGACAAGTGATTCACTGTGTCACAACTTCTTTTCCCAAAGGGCTTTATTCTGCAAAAGCTAGGTGATTAATTCTACGTGTGTGTGTACAGCTCCCGAAAGAATTGAAGTGCCAAGGCGTTCCTGGTACCATTCGCTGGAATCTCATTAAGTTGATGTATCTGCATTTATCTATCAATAAAAACATATAATGTCTGCATATGTATGTACATTACTTCTTAGTCTAATTTAAAATTTTTAAAAAGTGTGCCCACCCCAGTCGTTTCTTACGTTTGCCCGGTCTCCCATGTCTTGCATGCCATTTTCTGTCTGCTTTTTAAAGCACAGGCTATCATTCTGAGAACCCCTTTCTTTCAGAACCAACAGATTATCCTTAGGATGTGATACATGAAAGCAGATGCAAGCTGGGAATACTCACTGTTTCAAGAGTGGAGCTCAGATAAAGGCAGCAAGACTTTTTCTGAAATAACTTTTATATAAGGGTAAAATGATTCCTACAGATAACAAAACAATTACCAGCCAACATTAACAGCCCCAGAAAATGGGAAGCTAGAATGAGCAATAAAAACATAGCATTTGGAGTGAGATATTAGAGAGTGCCTATTAAAATATCTTACTCAATTTCTATTACACCTTAAAACGAAAGTCATCAAAATGTCATTACAGGCCTTTCCCCCAGATTCTTTAGAGTGGATTGAATCGCTCCTGCAAATGGACTGCTATCCAGGACTGACTTAAAGTCCTCTGAAATCATAGCAAAGCAAAACACAGCGTTAAATTTATGACATCTTATATTACAACAATACGCTCCTATACGTACGTACCAGGCTGTATTTGTCTTCAGATAGCTACAATTAAATATGTCTTATGAAATTAATGACTCCCAGAAGATGCTACCTTCGAGAAGACCTGCAGCCAGAAACCCCAGCAAAGGGAACCAGAGTTTAGCTCTACAAAGCTGAGGTCCACAAAGCATGCATAAAACAGTTTTTTAAATAAATAAATAAATAAATAAAACAAAAACCTTGTGGGGAAAAAAATCAGTTATTTCAAAATTATTTCAAGCCACCATATATTGCTTAAGCAAGGCAGCACAGAACTTTTTGAAAGCTTCTCAGCTAAGAGCTGAAGAGGAGTTGAACAACTGCAATTAACAATAAGGGTATCTTTACCCTGGCTTTTGGAAACCTAGGAACCCTGCAAGGAATGTTCAAGCCAGAGGAGATCTTTAGCATGCTGTAGTTCTGGCTGAAGTTTACTAGCTCTAACAATAAAATCTACACACCCTAAAGATCATTTTTTTTTTTTTACTGACAACACCCCCCCACCTCCCCATGAGGGTGGACACCCAAGCAATCAGCAGCAGCTCTCCATTCCCGAGGTTGAAAAGAAACACAGAAGGCACCTGATTGCACTTGGTTAACAAAAGCTGGGCAGTCTTTGGCAAATGACTGACAATAAAATTCTAACCGGTTCTCTTCTGACCTAACACGTGAAATGAAAACTATTCAAAATGTAAGCAATCCTATTTAGAAAGCAGTTTTCCAACACTCTTGGCAAAAAAGCACATGCAATATTTGAAAGGAAATAAAACGTTGTTTTTTTTTTTTTTTTTCTTTACCTTTCAGTTCGAGGAGGGCGTCACTTCTCCTGGATCCCATTTTCCGGAGGATAGTCAGTGCTGGCCGGTTTAGAATAAAAACCATTAGCATATTACTTAAAAAGAAAAAAAAGGAAAAAAAAATCTACCAAGCCGCTTTAAGGAGAAGGAAACTAACGAGGCTAGTGGCAATACAAGCCTTTCCTGATTCTTGTTTCTCCCTAATCATCGTATTCGCGGTGTCTGTTGCCCGCAGCATCCATCAATTAGCAGTTTTTAAGGGACCGTATTCGGTCTCGTCTGCTGCACGGGGCTGCGTTCTCCATAGTCCCTCAATCACCCAGGCTCCTTTCTAACAAGGATCTCGAAAGCAAGCGACTGAAAATCCTTCAATAGCACACAAACACTCCGTTCCTGGGAATTGCCGATATCGGACTCAGCAACTTTCCCTCAAATAGCCAGCCTAAAGAGTCCAGGTCCCTAGCACCAAGTCACAGCTCGCCCGCCCCGGTGAGCTTTAGAGCTTGGGCAAAGCGATGCTCACGGAGTCAGGGGAACTAAGGCTGATTTACTGGGTCCTGGCGAAGGCGGCTAGCGGCGAGGCGGCCCCAGCTGAGAAAGGGAGGACAGCAAGGCACCCTTCCTGGCTCCCTCTGTCCACCTACCGTCTCATCGTGCGACTCACAAATGAAATGCTAATAGACGCGAGGACTGATGCCAATTTCCTGCACTTTGCTCAGCGTTTCCGCGGCCCCAGCACAATAAAAGATAGCTGTTTGTGGAGAATGCTCTGTTCCATACCATTAACTCCGAACAAAACATATTTTTAGTGGGACAGCGGTGTTTACTCGTAAGAACTGATGAAATGGTCTGCACCATACATCACTCACAGACAAAGACGTTCAGCTACAGTTTGGACATAAATCAAGGTACATGCTCCTCAATTAAAAAAAAAAAAAAAAAGACCGCTTAAATCCCTCAAACACAGAGATTGAGGTCAGGCTGGCCATAGCAACCACAAGCAGAACTTGGGCTTCCAGAAGGACCTAGCAACCGATAAATGAGTTCAGATCTCTTTTCATCTCCGCTGGTGTGAAAGCCAAAATTAAAAAGATTAGATCACCCTGCACCCATCACAAAAGGTACCACAATGAAAAAGTCATTCCCAGCCTCTGACTCGTATCAAATAAATAACCTTCCTCCTTGCTATAATGAACAACTTCCAAAGTAAATTGAATCTCCATAGCCCGCTTTCCCTGGCCGAACAGTATTTACATAACAATATATCACAGGAAGACCTGAATAGATCTCGTAAATGGAATCTGGGGATAAAAGCATCCTTAGCCCAGATTACTGTATGTTCAGAAGGCTTTGCAGTACCCCTCATAGAAACAGTGTCTTGTACCACGAACACAAACAATGTCTTTAAATTGTGGGAAATACAAGTTCTTAGGTACCTTTTAAAACGCCTGGACTCTCCCAGTGAACCACCTGGGGGGGGGGGGAGTCAAGAATGAAGATAAAAAACCACTTGCTGCCCTTAACCCACGCTCTCGACTTCGTTCTGTGACAAAGAATTTTCACCTGTGTGGCTCCTCGCCTCTTTGTTCATACCAGCAATCTTTGATCCCAAAGAGCTTCTGGGCTTTTTTACATGGTACTTAAAATAAAAACACATTTGCCATTTTTTTTTTAGCATGTGTCTCATTCATCACTTGCTGTTTCCTCGAAAGTCCCTGACACCCTCCATTGTCATGACCATAATGCCGGCGAAGTTTTAGGAATGTCTCTCCACACAGAGTGTTCATCCTCAGCAGACTGAGACTAGATGTCTCCTGGTCACTCAACAACAAATTAAGGGCTGGTCTCCAAATCACATCAACTCCCAGAAACTATTGTACCCTGCATAGGCATCAGATGGCATGTATTCAAAGTAAGACAGGCAAGTCTATGGCAAAAACCTAGCAGCCTAATCTTTTCGTGGAGGCTCACGTAGATGTTACTATTTGAGCTCCACAGGGAATCTCATTAATTTTTAAAACTCTCTGACCTCAGTACAGTTGAGTGTGAAAATAATTACGAATTAAGAACGAGAGACCATCACTTGAATTCTGCACAGCCATATGCTCCGCCTTGCACAAAACGTTACTATCGTCAAACAGAAATTTTTTTTTTTAAACAGATACAGATTTAAACAGCATGATAAATGTCACCACACAGACATAAAAAGCAGCCCACCCTTCCTCCAGCCCTGCTCAAACCTCACCTCTAAGGTTTTAATAACACAAAGCCCTGTGTGAACACAGACAGGTTCTATAGGCAAGGGACGGCAAGGGAAGATGCCCTCTTAAAAAAATATCTACCTATAGAGACTTCCTTTTTGAATCACGAATGTCTCTCTCGGTCACAAAGATACAGAAATGTAAAGATTGCATATAAATGTTTTCTTACCTAAAACTTGGTAGAAGAATGTTTTCATCATCGTGGTCACCTCCTCCGGTTTCCCCTCTTGCCATCATGGGAATTGACTCCGGTGTGTTGATTACTGTGAGTCTCAGTTAGAGCTGTGACACTCAGCTGCCTGCATTGAACCTATGTGGGGAAATGAGAGAGGTAGGGTGGCGGAAAGAAAATGAGAGGGAGCGAGGGGGGAGGGGAGGTTGGGAGTGAGAGAGAGAGAGAGAGAGAGAGAGAGAGAGAGAGAGAGAGAGAGAGAGAGAGAGAGTTTTTTTTATAGAGAGATTTAGAGAAAGCAAGCCAGCCAGCCCAACTGCTGACTTGAGATTAAGAACCTCTAGCCAAGTGAAGCCAGGACAAAAATGGTCAGAGCTTTGTCCCTCATCAGCAGTGTAGACAGCTAGTTTTTTCTTTCTCCCTCCTCTGAAAAGTAGGATTGTCATTGGGGAGTCTCACCAGGAGGGCGCAGACAGAGGCAGCCCTTCTCCAGAGTGCTAGCTCTGCCCAGCAGCCCGTGCAGAATACAGGTACCTATTGTTCCGGAGACAGATATGTAGCCAGCCAGTCAGCCTCCGACAGATCTCAGCAAACCAGCGAGCCTGCCTTCATTTTAACTCCTTCTTTCCTAGTGCCTTTTGCTGAGAGACTCAGGTCTCCTCATCACCCACAAGAAATAACTGGGGCTGAGGCAGATGGTCTCATGGCTTCTTTTACAGGGAGGGACTTTAGCTACTGGTCCTGAAATTTGCATTTGATGGTAAATGTCTTCTCTCTCTCTCTCTTTTTTTTCTGGGAAGAAATGAAGTGTTAGGTGATAAGAAGAAGACGGCACGTAAGAGAAAACCCTTGGCGTGCAAGGCACGCTTGGGCGTGCAAGGGTTTTCTATTTTAAAAAGATGAAAATCAAGGCTATTTCAAATACCCTGGCCATAAAGATGTATGTCCCAGCACAGATGGAGCCCCTCCCTCCCTTAAACCAAGAGGGTCCCAATCTTGAGCATAGGGGTAAAGCCCATTTAAGACATTCCCTATCAGAGCCAACCCCAGTAAATCTGTTTCCCTACAACTGGACTCCTTTTGATTCCCCCGTCCTTTTAATAAACACTACTGCTTTCTCAAGAATCCCCCCAACTATCTCTCATCTCCAGTTCCTTCCCAATGCCTAAGCCACGCAAAATTAGAGAAGCTCAGAGAAAAATGACTTATTTCCCCGTTCTCCTTGGTAGGTCTGAAGATCCAGACAGAACATTTGATTCTCCAAATTCCTAGACCTCAGCGGGCCACACTGTGTTCTAGTTTTCATCCATGTTGTGTATTAATTGAATGTTTTTCCTTGATAGGGTGCAAACAGAGGCTTTGCTCCTGATCATAGGACAATGATGGAAAATAGAGAACAGAATAAGAGAAAACGTATCTTGTCACTGAGTCAAGATAAGAGGTGACTGAGAAAAGACCCACTGTGTGCCCTCTGCTTTCTCCAGAACGAACACCATACATTGTTGTCAGAGTTCCCTCAAGGGAAACGGCATGGGCTGAAATAGGAGGGATGCTGCCGAGAGCAGAGATGGTTAAGAAATCTCTTTGTAAAATCCACACTCAGGCATCACTTTACAAAGCCAGAGGGTAAACACTAAGAGCAGGAGGGGGAGGTTTAGTCATGCATGGCTGTTAATGGTAATGAGACATGTAGAACACAGCTATGCCCTGCCGAACAGCTTCTCCCAAATACTTGGGGTTTGTTTTGTTTATTTTTAAAAAGCAAACTAGTACTAGATGACGTCAGGGTGTTTTAGGAAACTCTGCATGGGGATGGGTGAATGTTTCTTCTCCCAAATTCCAGCATTTTGAAACCACTTCGGGTCATGCTGACTTGACTAGGTCTCTGAGCAATTAATACAGGCTTTGGAAACCCAGAAGTGAAAATTGCTTAACTTGATGACATCTGAAAAGGCTGCCTTGGGCTCTCTGCTCAGACTTCTATCTGATTTCATCTGAACAAAGAGCAAAAGTATAAACGTTTTCTTACTAAACACACCAACTGCTAACATCTAAGCCGAGGAGAAAACAAGGGGACATTGTAGCTCATTTCTTCCCCGTGCATAATCTGATTTTCCCCCAAAAGCCCATTTTAAAGAATGTGTTCTCTGCTCTGCCAATGAAAAATCTTTGCTATGACTATCCCAGTAACAAAATAGCAGAAGCCCGTTCAATGAGAGCAAGGAAGACAGGCTATAGAACCTTCTACAGGAGAGCCCTGGATCTCAGCAGAGGTGACACCTATCCCCAGCTCTTAGTGCTGCCCCCAAGTACAGAGGAGGCGTGTAGCCTCTCACTCCTGAGCACATGAGAAGACTTAAGAGTAAGTGTGTTTAATTAGAGCCGTACCCAGGCCCTATCCAGATGTTGCCTTTTATGCCCTCCCCTTTTGATCTTTCTGTTCCTCTTCTGTTCTCATCAGAGAACTGAGCTTTGGTGTGCCAAACTGGCTTTAAACATTCAGCTCTTAACAGGTTTGAATATGGACAGTTCTCACAGTCGGGGGCACCATTTTCTCGGTGCGTGTGAAGAAGGCTACCGACATTAGTGAGAGTCATGTGCACAGGGAAACACAGGATAGGCATATGACTAGGAGCGTAGGTGCATTACATGTATCCTCTGTGCTTAAACGGGTCTCAGTTTGTGCATGGCACACACTGTTTTATGCTTTGGAGTAGGAAAAAGATCTTAGTGGCTTTTTTTTTTCTTTTTCATGAAGTTCCTACTAGGATGCCTATGTCACTTCCAGGCCATCACTATAGCTCTAAGCTTAGAATTCACAGTCATCCCCAATTTGCCAAAGAAGTCATCTCAAGTAAGACTCCAACAGGATGTGCCAACTGCTCTTTGAAAGGAAAAACAAGCTGCCATGTGCTGGCCTTGTAAAGTCTAAACACGGGAGAGTGTGAGGCTCTTCCCTACACAGCAGCCAGGGAACTCTGGGTCCTCGGATATTAGGTATTAACTCTTTATGTCTATATAACTTGATCTGAGAGACCCAAATGGAGTTTTCCAGAAGAGATGCAGGAGGAAACATAACATCTTCATTATATTAGGGAATCTTCCAATTTTTATACCCCCCCTCAGGATATGCTACAGTGTGCTTCAGTTATTCCCATAATAAACCCCAGGCTCCTGTGACTTCTGAGGGATCCTTCAGGAATGCTTTAAGTAACTCAACTGCAGGAAAGTCAAAAATAGTCTCTCCACCAAATTAAACATTATCTAAGTTCTCCATGCAGCTATTAGATACACAGAAAATCACCTCTGAGCACCCTCTACAAATGGCTTAGATTACATATTAAAATTCTAATTAAAAGTCCCCGTCTTATCTACACTGGCTGATTTGAGATTACAGAGTAAATTCTGATTTGGAGTAAAACTTGTGAGGAATGGTGATTTCTGATGGGTGCACACTAATGGCAAAATTACAGAGACTTTTGTAGTAGAATATTCAAGCAATGAACAAATCCTGGGACTTTCTTTAGACCATGGCTCCTTGGTTTCGTAAGATCTCCTGGTGACTTTTATTCCCTAGAACCTTGCTCTCTTGAAAGTTAGTGAACAATCGTCAGGAATGCTAACATTTCTTCAAGACACAAGGGGGAAGTGTTGTCACAAATGACATTGAAAGTGGAAAGAAACAGAAACCCAACTATGTACTTCCGGAAAGATGTGAAAAAGTATAAACCAAGGCATTGCAGGATTTCAGATCCAGAACGTAATAAATCTTGGTTATCCAGGTTTCCGCTTAATTTGTAGCTAAATAAAAATACTGTTTCTGGGAGTTTTGTTTTAAAAGGTTATGGATAATTTAATGGAAAATATTAGGAGGTACCTGACATCCCCTCCAAAGCATGTAATCTTTCTAGTAGGAGCAAAATGACACATTTCCCCTTGCTATTCTTTCATTATCCCACGAGTTGATCTAATTTGTGGTTTAGCTGCCATATACTTTAATTGAGATAACTACTTAGTTTTAGAAAAGCCCTGTGAGGTAGTTTTATTCAACAGTTAGTAAGCAGTAGGACGCTTTGAAATAATAGCAGCGCACTCTGCCTTCCTTATTCTACAGTAGCTGTTGGAAGTCAAGTCAGAGAACACACACGCCCAGGGAAGAGAATGCTAATATTTTGAGTGGCAGCAGAAAGGGAAGCATTTGCATCGTCACATGTGTAAATGAAGCACTATGTCGTTCTGTGTCCCCGTAAATGTGTTCCCAAGTACTCTCACACTTCCAGCACAATGAATAAGAAGTTAACATGAACCTGACTGATGAGCGTTGATACCCAACACAAAAGCATTTCACAGAAGTTAGGAAGCTCCCACAAGGGGATTAGGCAAGGGAAGGAAAAAAATGGAAAAGATTTTACTATGTTTACTTTGCATCTTTGCATAATTCTTTCAAAGATAGAACATTCTAGAGCAGGCATTTCCTTTAGGAATTCCAACTGAAGTTTTTCTTAAGAGATACCCATCATTCTATAGTCAGAGCTTTGAGTGAAATGGGACCAACCTGGCTTCTCCAAGAAAGGGCTTCCCAGCCACTGGTGGCAACCTGATAGAGGAGGCGCCTCAAGGGAAGTGCTCCCGTCTTGTTTCTGTCCTGTGCAATCTTCACCCTTGCAAATCTTTGGCTAAAAGTCAGGATAAGGTGTGATTTATTAATAATACGGCAAAGTCATTACAATCTGAACCAAAATGTTATTGGACATTTCCCTCGCCACTACTGTTTAAAGGAGTCTTTAAAACACAATTTCGTTCCCTTCCACCCGGTCAAGTTTTTCTCCACAGATAATTGACTTTCATTACATGCACAAAGAGCGTCGTGGAAGTCAGGATGCATGAGGCATTTAAATATTTCCAAATGAGAGTTCTGCCTGCATCTCTGTTCGGGTGCCCAAACACACTCTCATTGGAGTCTGTGCAACTGATCATTAGGGCTCCTCGGCTGTAAGAGGAAGGCCACATGCACAGCCGTGTCTGTCATTAGCAGAGAAGGACGCACAGCAGTAAGCGGGCTATCTTAAACAAGTGGTTTACAGAGCCACGTGTCCTCCTGGCTAATCGCGCCGGCCTCCCTCCTAGAAAAGTTCCATCTTGTTCTCTGTTTCTTTACTCCTAAGTACACTTTTAGCATTTTAAGGTTTGTCTCCGGATGCTCTCATCATCCAAAGTGTGTTTGAGATGCTAATGTGTTACCACTAATTGTTCGTAAGTACCTTGAAACATTAGATTAGCAATGTTTATAACGGTCTAAATACAGCATGACAATATGAAATCAATCAATTACCATGTCCATCAGCCTCTGACATTTCAGTGTGTCCCCGCTGTAGAAACAGCGCCATGAGCTTTTAACAAGCAACAGTTACTATTACTTGAGAATTGAACTCATGAACTAATACTCCATTGTAAACATTTGAGAAATGAGCCCAGTTGCTATGCGATTCTGAAATAAACTCTACTTACTCGAATATCTATCTTCTTC